TTGTGATGGAATGAATCAACGATAATGAATTCCTGCCCGGATTTTCTAACTGCATTACCTGATGCCATTCATCTGTCGAAAAATAATCAATCAAACATTGCAAACAACAGCAGTAGAATGAGGTAACTAATATGAGCAAACTGAACGATCCTCGCGCGCTTCTGGACCAGAACCGAATGACAGTCGCTGCATGGGACAAGGTGCCAAGTTTGAGCTCTCACATTTGTTCATCGGGTTAGTGCTCACTTCAGGCAGCGTAATAACGATCGCCAGATATGGGAATCTTGTGACCAAACGAGCATGACAAGTCACTAAGCGACTCTGTAGTCCATAGTTAGAGCATTCGAGGGGTGTACACCATGCTGCTCATTCAGTTGTCCAATTAGGTTTGAAACGAGTTTGTAGTTACGTTAACGATCAAAGACAGATAAGTCCCCATTGTTCTCTTCGATAACTCGTAGGACCGTCCACCTGCACATGCTACGGCGTGCATATCGGCATCTTGTCAGACATCTCTGAGCTTACTAACATACTTCGAAAAAGTAAATGGACAAGTTGGATTCCGCCGCTCAGTCCGTGCAGCTTAAATCTGTACATGTGATAGAGTCGGAAACTAGAAACAGTTAGGATTAGTTAGTGTCGACTGATCGACTCGAGCCTGATGTGGAAAATGGCATAGTTTGTGTTATCAACGGCTTGAACTTGCACACACGTGCATTCGCTTTTCGACTTCATCCGTTTGGATGACTTTTGTTGAACAATATTCAATTTTCACGCGAATCAGTTCTACCTGTCATTACACCACCTGACTGTACACCATGTACCGAATACTGTGAGCAAACAAAAGATGAACAGCGCTCTGCAAAGAGCAGTTTTTGGTGCAAAAGGAATTCAACATCAGAACAAAATTGTACCAGAGAGTCGGTTTCCTTTCACACAAAAATGTCTCAAAATTCAACGAAATGAAAGTTATATCAAGTTCGAGTAAAATTGTGCAAATAATCTTGTTAAAAAATACATAAAACACAACACATTTTATTTTGTTTTGCGAAATAATGTTCGCAATTATCTCAATGACACGTACTCTGAAGGTACATTCAGGGATGCACAGACTTTTGCGCGATTAGCAACTCATATATGTGGACAGATACGTAGTAAAATACAGACGGACGTGTATAAACATATATCAAATATACATACCTATGAATATATGGAGTTATATGTGGTCAGACAATATATATATATATATATATATATATATATATATTACTGATGAGTAGTCGGGGATTTGGTTAATTTCAAATTGAACATATATATATATATATAATCCATAAGTCCACATAAACATATGTGCATATAGATATGCGTATACAGTTGTCACTATACAACTAGACGCATTTATATTTCTTTTCTATGTAAATATTTACTTATATTTTGAAAAAATTAGAATTGTGCCGTTGATAAGTATTAATTAATTTGCCAACAGGTTTATCCATCAACCGATCAGAAAACTCGGCAGTTCAAATTACTTTTCCCCGGTATGAAAGGAAACCGGCTCCCACTGCACCAGTCAATTGTAACATTATCTATTTGAAGCGTCTTGTCAACGGTAATAGCTAACGTTCCCCTGTGACAAGCTCTTGTAGACTAAACGGCCGACGGTGTGATCTTGAAATCCCGGCTCAGAAAGTCCAGTTGAAAAGAGGTCAGCTCACAAGTGGACGGAACATCATCACCCCCTCAATGTGAGAGTGTACATGCTATCGGTGAAGCGTTCGCCTCTGTGTCCTTCCATCTTACCTACTGTGGCGAAATCGCACTCAAACAATCGACCCTTCATATACCAACCAATATATGTTGGTTTCTGAGTGCCCTTATGTCCAACCTAACAGATTCTTGCTGACCAAAGGGAAGTGTTGACAGGGCGGTATTCACTGCAGGTCACGTAATCGATTGGTACCGAGCCGTAGGCGCAGACGACAACAACAATTGATTCATGTACTATGGAGCAGTAGATACACAACCAGAGTACGCGTAAAAGTACAACGGTGCGAGCTAGCTAGTTGTTGCCAGTGTTCTTTTCCTGTCCGATAGTGTGCTCAATCTTGCTAAATTAGACAACCCTCTAGTCGTTGAAATTACATCTCCATTAACACTGTATGTTTATTAATTCTCTGTTGGTGTATCGGCAAACAGGCGACGGTTGGTCAGACGTGACGGCACCTGATGGACATGTCTACGTGCCTGTGTTGTGCGTATGTGGAACGGACACTCCTGGGAAGTCACCGCGCAACTTCTACGCTCAGACAGTGCGTACACGGACGGGCTAGTCTTAGCCTGCTTTCAGGCCAGCATGGTAACCAAATACAGCGAACTGGTCTCGTTTTCTCCCAACATCTGTCGCGCCCATGCTCCTCTAGCTCATACAACTGCTGTGTTTAGCAGCCTAGTTAGGTACAGATCAGCCGTAAGCTTTCGTACGTTGATGAACACTGTGCGGCAAACTTAATGGAATCTTCTGGAACATCTCAATCCGATATCGAGTCACACGAAAATGACATCGGGTCGTATGAAAGTGGAAAGGTATGGATCTCAACAATGCTCTCCGGGATAGTTTCTGATTGGATACAGCAGCATTTTCATTGTCCTCTGCTGAAAACCACATTTCGGACACAAAAGATGCTTATTCGGCAAAAGTATTTCTTATCGAGAAACAAGATGTCCTAGTGACTTGGAAAACCAATTGACATGAGTGCAACATAATAAGGTGGACCTTATTTTATAAGAATCATAGAAATAGAAAGGTGTCATGATTTTTCCAATAATCTCATTGCATTGCGCATTCAATAGATGACAGCATACTTTGTGTGACCCTTGACTACACAGCTGTCATGGAATTATGAAGGATTACACTTAAATAACAACAACACCGGCAAGCGATTTACACTCATAAGATAAAAAATATCAACAAACTAGTCGTAATTGCATCAGTTAATATTCTCATAAAACGGCATGGTTAATCAAGTTTATCAGGCTGTTTAAGCATGGGCATAGGCCAAATAACGAGGGTTCGAATCCATAACTGCTTAACCGGAGAGTGTATGTATTCGTTGGTGAACAACGATCTGCTTTGGGTCAGGGTATAGACGTAATGGTGGGCAATATAGATACAGCTAAATTTCAACGACGCCTGATTAAACTAACAGGAATCTAACCATTCTGTTGATAGAACACATAGCCCCGTGGACAGCTAAAAAAATTTCAAAATCCGACCCAAACCGTGCCTCGCAACCGATTGTTTACATCATCAATTCGTCATCATTCAATTGGGAGCAGCTATGGCATCTGTTAATCTATTTACACCAGAATTGTGTTACATAGCTGGCTGAGTGACAAACAGTAAAATATGTAACAAGAGTACACGATTGTTTATATTTGTAGTAAAATAAAATGCAATGTCTCAGAACCCAGCAGAGTCCCGGCAGTAGGAATGCCGATAGATACCGGAAAAAAAACTCTTTTTCAATGTGAGGTTGACGTCGGAATGACTCGCTTGGGGGAGGATGGGGAAGAGGGTAGTTTTGATGAGGCGCTCTTACCAGAAGTGCCCAGTTCGTTCCGCTTTGCCTCGGCACGTTTGTAACTAGCGCACCGTTCGTAGAATCGCGTGGTCAATAATTGCAAGTTCCTGGTGAATCGCAAATCATGTTCCGAAGCCCACGCTTCCAGTTCTTTCTCATAGGTGGCCTTCAATTGTTGAGCTTTGAGTCCATAGGTCTACATAATGAGGTAGTGACGAATTGAATACATAAGTTGATAACTAATGAGTAAACAGATGAGCAGTTGTCACGAGGACTGCAGTCAAACAACAAAACATTTCGAATTTGTGCAGCCGGGCCGTAAACAGCTGTGCCAATTGAGAGAATACGCACTTCATTGATCCCAGAAAAGAACTCACCGGAGAACGGACTGAAAACGGCTGATTATAGAACGAAGTAAATGGCTGTCTTTATTCTACGAGATCCTAATCATCTGAACGCCACATGTCAAGACAGTTGCATTTATTTATCGAGGGTCTACATAAAGTAGAAAGGACAACCAACCGCTGGAATCAAGTATTTAGACAGGCACTGTGTAAGCCAAAGGGCACTCCTTATAATTTATCATAAAGTACATCAACACTATTTACCCCCAAACAGGTAAAAACGGAGCCAAAGAAGTATCAGAACCCCGGTTTGTAGATGACTATTGGTCAAAAATGGTAAAACATCTTCATAACCTACAACGCTGCGAAGTGGTGTGTAGTACAACGATCCATCGACTAAAACCAAACAGCCCACAGCTATCACATCCCATTGTTTATATAAATATCCATGTGGCGGTAGCATAAACCACATAGGGTGGGTGTTCTCATTTAGGTGGCCTTTGATGGGTTACCTGATGGGCGAAAGCCTACTGGAAAGCCTTGACCAGTGCTCACTTTCGACTACACGAGCGAGGATAGCACCGTTGACCGATTATGTTTCGCTGTGTTCCAATTAACGTGATGAGTCCATGGATTTGTTCCTATAGCCATTGTGAGATACCACCGATATAACCATCTCCATACGAACAAGTAAAAGGGCGGATACACACAGGTGAACTTACAGTCTGTTTTTGCCATAAAAAGAAGAACTGAGAATGCGGTGATCTGGACAGAGTTCAGCTATCGCAAATTCACTAACAGTCGCCCGTCAACCATTGGGCAACATCGTCACCTGTGTACATCATTCGGGATTCTTAATACTTCGGTTTTAATCTTCGATGGTGTTCTAATAGTTCTTAGAGTAACGCGTTCTAGTTGACCGTTAGCATAGAGAATGTTCACTGTGAAGTTGAGGTCACTGCCTAATGTGCCGGCTGGACAATCCGATCCAAATCTGTTGCACAAAACGTGTAGATACAAACGCGACAACTCTAAGGCCGTATGCTTACCTAATATACCACCAAGCCCCGGCCGTGGCAGAGTGGCCGAGCGGTCTAAGGCGCCGGTTTAAGGCACCGGTCCGAAAGGGCGTGGGTTCGAATCCCACCTCTGTCAGCAGTTTTCCGTCCTGTTGGTAGATGTTAGGGGCCCTGGCAACAGAGGCCAATCTGATCGACTGTTTGAAAACCCGGTGACCATATGAAACTGCTGCCGTTCGCATGGCGTGTACATGACCAGAATGAACTTGCGGAGCACTACCTCGCGTTTTCTTAAGAACTGTATTCTGTGCCACTGCGTTCTTGTCAGACAAATTCGTTAAGAACTACTCAATTACGGGATACTTTCTTTTTCTCCCACTGAAATAACCACAGCTTTTCCGATCTATATTTGAAATTCTCTCGAAAGTCCTTCTAGAAAAGCGCATGAAATATTCCAGTAAGTTCATTCTCCACTGGAGGCGCATCGCTGAATGAGTCAGCAAACTGGTTACGACAGGAGAGTGTTCAACTGTGCTGATTCATGTGCCACGAGAAAATAAGGTCTGGGGGTGCATGTAATTCAGTATGAGTGAGTGTAATGAAGTGCTCGGCTGTTTTCCTGTTTGACTCTAGTCTCATGATAGACACGACAGTTATTTTTCTAAACATACTACTCATGAGTAGTTAACGTAGTTTGGTGTAAATCGATAACGCTCATGCTGTTGATCCCATCAGAAATGAACCCTGAGCATACCTCAGTCCACAGTGCTGGAAACTAAAACTTTGGGGAAGCCACATTCAGTATCACTTTGTGCAACCAGCCGCAGCAAACAACGAACTATGAGACCTCTAAACACGCGATTTCAGTTAACTACCGTTGTCAGAACGCACGCATGCTTGACAGAGAGCAATGTCGTCGCTTCACATAAAGGTACGGCTCCTCATCGACATGTGAGGATATTGAGCACAATAGTTCGGCCACATGCTGCGATATTCTGACATAAGCTCTACGAAGCCGAACACTCTGATTGAGTCGCAAGACTGTCATCACGTTTGTATCAACACAGCATACACAAAGCCAGTCTGGTCAATCAGTCGATCGGGGACGGAAAGTTACCGCTTATATCATTCGGTTAAACTTCGGTTGTAACCCCACTCTCATGGCAAACAAGTCAGGAGGACACTATAACTCACCTCCCTAACAGACTGGCCACCGGTTAACATATAAAACCATGAATAAAACGAATGTGTTCACCGTCGAGCGGTGAATACCGGCTCGGATAAGTTGAAAATTTGGATATTATCCTAGCGAGCAGTAAACACTGAGTGGTAAACAGTACTACCTACTGATGTAGTATATGTGATCAATAATTTATGCTATGCGTATGATTGACCCAGTCACTTTCACTGAGGCTATTCAATCAGCAAACGACGTGGTGGCTCAGCGAAGTCCAATGACCTATTGGAGAACTTGTTCATCACGAACGCATGAAATTGACAGTTCATGCGATTGAAGTATTCGCAGAAAGGATTAATGACGGAGTGTATTAGTACTAGCTCTCACAAAAGAATGATGCCGACAGAAACCAGATATATGGTCGGATATGTTCCAAAAAGAACACACTCTATGCTGATCCTAACAAACATCCAAACACACTCCTTGGGTGTCTGCAACACGCAGTCGTAAGCAGATACGCGTTGATCGGATATTGTGGACCTCATAAGCAAAAGACATATTGTGGACACTCGACTAACATGACATATTGTGGACCTCATAAGCAAGAGACATTCGACTAACATGACATTTGATATGCATACAACAAACCATAGTATTTGCATTTTGTGCAAATGAGTACCTTATATAAAGCAGTTTACAGTCTAGTATGTTATTTTGACACACACAACTCGAGACTAAAATCTAGATTTTATCTACCGTTCCAAAAACACCACTTGATCTAATATCACCATCTAACTGGAACCGATTCATGTCGCTGTGAATGAAAAACAGATGCTCAAAACAGAAGCCCTTAAAAAAATGATGGGCTCGAGAGTTAAAGTGAGTAGGACAAGTTTAGAGAGATGAAGAGGTGCCAAAAGAAGTTTCAAAAACAAGCTAATCGGTTTTCTCGTGACTTTTACCCACTAAACGTTTTAAAACCAACAATACAACATGCACTGAGTTGTGGACACAGAGGATATGTTTGTAACGACGCTTCAACTACTGGAATTATATTATTGTAATCTAACCTAGGGTCGACGACAGCAACCGCAGGAGTCGATATAAAACACGATACGGGCTAACACTGAGTCGACTATACCCGAAACAATTTCATTCGGAGGACTGTGTAACACTCGAGTGCCTTGGACAGCGATTGAGTTGGTGTAAGCGCAACGGGTGAAATTTGTTGGTGAGGTGCAAGTGTTCACTGCACGTGAATAGTATCGAATTCACGTGGGTTTCCCCTCATAAAAATATGAGCATAAAACAAGCGACCGGAAGTGTGAGATAACGACTGGGATAGTTGCTCGATGCATACACCACTTAAGCACTGACTAAGTTTGTTCTCTTCAGACAGCGATTAGAATCGAAACCTGAGGTAAAAAGCAGTACCCAACTAAAATATTCCACATCAGCAAGCTTTTTTTTAAGCTACTAGAGTAAAGTACATGTGCAAATGGGTTTCCCTAGCAGGTTTGACGGTTACAACCGATTTGAACTAGTCCAGTCGACTGCGATCGGATTCGTTACATGCGTGTCTTCACAACCGGTCTTAGACAATTTGTCCAGCGGGACACACGATTTCTTGAATATCCATTGGTAGTCAGATGGATTGTTCGAACTGTTACAAGTGTGCCGCTTTAAACTATGACGTAGCGTGTGAATTCTGTTGAGTATGAAACCGTTACTTAGTTATTGGACTGATGAAAACACAACTAAGAGATCAAAGTTCTCATTCTGCGGATTACGTTGCCGCTGATCTTCTCAAGACAGAAGTACTCTGGGAAAATGGTTTGGTGGCAAAAGAAACAGGCGGCCGAAACGGTGTACACAGTGAACTCCTATGAAAATTTTGATGGTGTTAGCAAAAGAATTTCGTCGACTTGATACCAGTATAACACCCTCAACTATCAAGCCAAGTCAATGCGCAAAAAATTCTTTTTCTCTCATCTATGCACTCATTTGCATACAGTAACCCAATAACTTAAAAGATATTCGTGTTGGTAATAGTATCGGTGGCCTTATTCATCCAAGTTTCAACAGGACAGTCAATTAATTATTCCTCCCGTGCAGGCTAAAATGCTCTGTTTCTTTTATACGCATAATTTCAGATTGGATTATGAATCATGGAAGCTCGAAATGACATATCAACGTCATATGTAACACATTCCGCAGTCAAAGAGTATGTGCTAATTGATTACGGAATCAGCTGAGGCAGTACATTACGTCAAGTGGAAAATTCATACACAATGCCGTCAGTTGGCACTGGATCACTCAAGTTTCGGGATTCCACAGACAATATTAAAACACATGGATATCAAGCAATTTTAAGACTGGGAATATGGAACTCAAAAGGAGACGTTGTTACCACTAAATGAAACGACTGACGTGTATGACAGCTGACTACATCGTGACTTTCTGGATCAGTTCGAACATGTATCGAGATCACAATGCATGGTGAGTACCCATTTCGGGTTCTAATCATGAATGATAAACGCACGCACTATCAGTTGTTTTCAAGGGGCGGTTATGCCTTTCACTCTTTCAACAATGGTCCGGGGGTTGAGTAACCTAAAGTCGAATTCTATGCGCAACGTGTCCGCGCACGACCTTCCCAACTAACAGGTCCCACCATCCTTAGTGGTTCAAGGTAGGAATGGAACTATGTTGTGTGAGATGCAGCACGAGTTAACGAGCTAAACAAGTAAGGATACTTCGGAAGTAAAACAAATGAGGTGTTGTAATGTGCAACAGATCATCCTCGAGCCAAACTCATGACGAGCAACAAGATAAAACACCAACGCACATACCTGATTAATCGAAAATCGAAATCACTTCTGGTATGATCAGACAAATGGAGGGGAGGTCAGAGAGGAGTAAGCTTTCAGTTAACTAACGATACCATAACAGTATGATCAGTACATTTTGATGCCAACAATTACCCCTGATGATCAACTTGATTGGCTGTTTTGTAGATGTCGGACAGTAAAGTATATTTTTACCTCAAATATGAAAAGTATGCTACCATGACCACCACGCTCGTCAGTTCTTAATCTGATGGTGCATTTCTGGGATTGGTTAGGACCGCACAGTCAGTGCCCATCAGGACATTAGAAGCTTACTTTAACTGGTAAGTAGACTAGTCAATGTACGGAACGAAGTGAATAAGTGTCAAATCGCATTATGACAAGAAGAGAGTGACAGTATAGACGTCCTTTTCGGAGGCAGCAAATTGCGACCCGAATGGTTATTAACAAAGAGGGAATGTGGCATGTTTTGATATTGTTCTATGCCTACTTATGAGTGGTATCCTGGAAACCAACATAGACGGCACGGCGACGCATGAAAGTGGAGCGTAACCGCAACGGATATCACCATAGCCGATCAACTCTAAGAAATTACGAAATTTGACGCATTAACACAAGTCTATGATCCAACGATACTTGCATAAAAGAGAAAAAACGTGCAACGTTTACCGGATTAGCACGTAAAACACAATACTCACACCAAATACCCTAGGTTGAGCAGGAGAACAGACATTGTGAAGAACATAAGTTGCATCGAAAAACGACTGTAGGTTGAAAATCAAGACAGTAACTACAACTTATGATTATTTTCAAACTAGCAACCCAAATGTGTCATACACTGTATAGTAAACATGCTAGTTATGGTACGACATGGATAAAAACACTAACCGCCTGTTCTGATGGGGAAAGCGACTTCCAATTTTGAACGGCATCACGTAGCTTCGTAGCGACTTTGGTAATTGGTTGACCCTGTGGAAGTGTGGATTAAAAAATTGAAGTACAGTGCACAGCGCAGCTCAGCAAATCGTAATCTAACATAAAACATAAAAGACTGACATTACACGATTTATGCTGAAGAAGACTTCGCTGTATCTCTACTGGCGTTTACTG